GTGTACATTATGCACATGATCGGTTCTATATTATTTCCAGATTCGAGCAAAGATAAAGTGCTTGCGAGGTATGTGTAGGATATAATTTGAATCCGTATTTCATTGAATTAACTTATTTTAATAAATTGAAATGTTGTGAATATGCTACGTCATTGCCACTACTCGAAGACTTGGACACATGTGGTGCGTTATCGTGGGGTAGTGCCGTTTTAGCGTACTTATATAGAGAGATGTCCAAAGTGGCATTCATGAAAAACAGCGACTTAAAAGGGTGTCTAAGTTTACTATAAGTATGGGCATGGGAGAGACTTCATCTGAAACCGAGGGTATGCGTGAATTTACAATTAGATGGCCAAATTCCACTGGGATGCAGGTATTATATTTTTTTAACGAAGTAAATATAATTGTAGTTATCATTGTGGTACTAAATTTTGAAAACAACATAGATGAAATGTCCAAAAATGGTATGACGTGACCCCGACTAGACAATTAGATTTCTACCAAAATGAACTTGATCGTATGAAGATTTTTCAGGTATCATTTCTATAAAAATGAGCTTTTTCTTCTATATATCAAATTTAGTTTTAATGATATGCATTCTATAAAAATGAGCTTTTTCTTCTATATATCAAATTTAGTTTTAATGATATGCAACAATTATATGAAATACTTTGTAGATGGAGTTTTTCTTCTATATATCAAATTTAGTTTTAATGATATGCAACAATTATATGAAATACTTTGTAGATGGAGCCCTATACCCAATTTCTCAATCATCTACCTCCGGTATGCATAGAATACCCAGTTACATGGAGAGCCAGAGTTCCTCTAATATGTTTTGAGATAGTAGAAATGCATGTACCGGACCACGTGCTTCGACAATTTAGTCTTGCACAACATGTTTCGGAATTTGTTGAAAAAATAGAGAGGAAGACAAAGAAAGGAGGCCAACAAAAGGACTGGGCAGCTGAGCATCAAAACTATATACACAGATGGAATGATATACATTTTTGTATTGTTGAGCAAATTGAACCAACTCCCCGAGAATCAGATTACTACACTTGGTATTGGGGGATAACCCGAAGATGGATATTCCATGCGACCACAGCACCGGTTGAGTTGCAAAAAGGATATGTGCCCTAGGGTATAGATGAGAGAGAATTAGTAAGTATTTTCAGATTTTGATTTAAGTCCATTTTTATTGTTATTTCTCAACATTGCTAACATGTGTTTTTTAAAAAATTTGCAGGTATCAGCAATAGATGATGTTCAAACCATTGCAAATTGTGGCATGGAATTGGCTCGAGTAAGTAATATACAATTAAATATCAAATTTACATTCTATAATTTAAATTTTAAAGTAATTTTTCTATTTTCGATTTTTTAAATTCTCTCTCACAGGTACATATCCCGAAGCACATGAACATGTATCAATATATTAGTCAATAATGTGGAGGCTTCACTAAGCCTTACACCAAACTCACGAAGATCTTCATGATGGACGAGAGGTAACGCAATTCGTATACACACGTCAACCACGACAAAGTTGAGGACGACGCAGAAACGACAATGAAACTGGACATTCCCAACGTGTTGACGATGGAGCTGGGCCGTCACAACCACAAGCGCAACGGATCACGAACTCGTCGAAGGTCGGGATGGAGGTGGACGAAGACAAAGGAGGAGGAGAAGAGTTATTGGATGTATGTAAACTAATCATTATTATTATATACATTACAAACTATTTTGGTATGTACATTACAAATCTATTTCGGGATGTGAGATGGTTTTTGGATTTGTAGTCGAGATTGTGGTGTGATTTGTTGGATTTGTAAGTGGGTTTGTGGTGTGAATTGTTGGATTAGTAAGTGGGTTTGTGGTGTGAATTGTTGGATTTGTAAATTAGTTTGCGGTGTAATTTATGATATTTAGATTTGTAAATGAGTTTATGGTGTTATATGAGTTGCATTTAAGTTTGTACAGGGAATTGACAGGAAATCCATATAGGAATTGCACTGGAAACGTGCACAGGAAGTGCACGGGACTACTAGTCCCGTGCACTTTGTTTTAGGCAAAAACTTGCATATGGAACATGGAATTTTTAAGCAGAAACTTAGAAAATGAAGTGCACGGGACTACTAGTCCCGTACAGTTCGCAAAAACCCTCCGACAGCAAAACCAACCATTTTCTTCTGAAAAGGGTCGGTTTTGCTCATTATTTTTTTAAAGGGTCGGGTTTGCTTAATAAATTTTAGAAAGGGGTGTTTTTAAAAATTTGTCCCAGAAATTATTATCAAATTAAACCCAATTCAAGTTAAAAAAGGGAATTCCCCCAACAAATATAGCAAGCATCTTTAAGAGAATATGTGAATGTAACTCACAAATAGCCAAGCATACTCATGAGAATATGGGAATGTAACTCTACATCAGTTCATATACTCAATTAAACCCAATTCAACTCAAAATTTCATTTTCAGAAGAAAAAAAATGAAAAGGGAAAATAGGAATTGAAGAAACAATTGAAGCTCATAGAATGACAAATTGCAAATTTAATTCATCTATAAATTGAAAAAGAAATTGAAGTAGGTCCACGATCTCCTTTAATTCATCAATAAATTGAAGAACAACATAAAGGCCAAAGTGATGCTAACAACATATATAGTTACTTAAACCGAGATCTAAGCAAATCCCATCAAATTTCCCCCAGAAAAACATAAAAATAAAGCAAAATGGTAAAAAAGAGCAAGATTCATACATGATCCAACAGTTTCTCAGTTTCTAGGGGTTAGATTGGAGATTTCTAGTGATCTTTACCTCCAATTTGATGTTTTTGTTTCCAAATCATCCACAGAGATGCAGAAGGAGGCGGGAGAAAAAAGGAGAGATCAATGGAGGCAAGAGAAAAAGGAGGGAGAAGATGAAATGAGAGACAAATAGAGCAGTAACCCAAGTATTTCCCCATTTTCCTCTCTTCAATCACGAGTAGGTATGAAGTGTTTTTTTATACTCAGTTTTAATACGCTTTCTAGATTTCGGTCTTTTCGAAATGGAAACAACATTTCCTCCAAATCTTGTTGGGGATTCGAAACAATCAAGTTGTTGGGGATTCGAAACAATCAAGTTGTTGGGGATTCGAAAAAATCAATCGAAGTCGTGCCCTTCCGGATCTTGTGCTAAGAGTTTAGCAAGTAGGAAAATCATCGCAAATAAAAGAAAAATTACAGGAAAGATAAACAAGAAAGAACACACCAGATTTAACGAGGTTCGGCAACGTGACTACGTCCTTGGGAGCCACATCACACAATTCTTTCATTAATTAAAGAAGATTACAATGCTCATAATTAGTCTCTCTCTCTCTACGATTTCTAATCTCAAAGAACCGTCAAAATCCATCTTTTTTCATGTTCAACAAACCCTAGATAACCCTAAAAACTCCATTAGGATATATATATATATAATATATATCTATATATATATTATATATATATATATATATTATATATATAATATTATATATATATATATATATAAAATATATAACCCACCCAAAACAGAATCCCAAAACGAATTCAGGAAACCTGAAAAACTGCTTTCGGTCAACCGGACCATGTGTCATCGGTCGACCGGCAGAAGTCAGATTTCTTACAGGGTATTGTGCACGTTTTTCGGTTCGATCGGCCATCACATTCGGTCGATCCAGATGACAAGTCTCGGGTCGACCGTCATCAATTTCGGTCGACCCGGCTAAGTGAATTTCCTGGGTTTTTTCCTACAGTCGATTGCGGTCGACCGGACCAAACCTGTCGGTCGACCGAACTGGGTTTTTCCAGTTTTCTTCGTTGATTTGATTCCAGGTTTGGTCTACACTCTCGAGACTAATAATCTCCCATTTGGAGATCAAACCGCCATCAACGATCTCTCCCTAACTCCTGCCATCTTCGCAAGCATCTTCTCCTCCATGAAAAAATCCATTCTTCAATCATTATCATCTCACAAACGATACCCGAACTTATCAATGCCGTATCCAATGAATGTATACTTCTGTGACTTAGGTTCTAGCTTGTTCGTGACATGTTCACTGATATGAACATATACCATGTAGCCAAATACTCGCAAGTGTGAGATATTAATCTTCTTGCCACTCCAAACCTCTTCTGGAATCCTAAAATCCAATGGAACTGATGGCCCATGATTAATCAGATAAGCTGAAGAAGCTTCCTATTAGCAGTGGCGTGGAATGAGGCTCTTGAGTCAATAACCCAATAATCAGAATCGCTGTCTATAACAGGGATCAAGACATCTTGCACGATATGAGCCTCCTGCTCATTCGCATTCTTCTTTGGCGCTTCACAGACTGAAGATATATGGTCCTCCTGACCGTAGTTCCAACACTTTCCTTTGATAGGCCTAACCAAGCTCTTTTTGAGCTTACACAAACCTCACGTGGCAATCATGTTCCAGGCCTCTCTTATTTTATAACACACATGAGGACTAAAGAAAATTGACACCTTCCACCCTGTCAGTTTTCGTTTTTGGGCTTTTCTCCGCATTTTAGGCCAACCAAACAGCCCTCAGCCATCAACGTCCGTTTACAGGGATAAGCAATTTTTTTTACTCATTAACTATTAAAAATTTAACTACGGTCAACCTGACGGATAAAGCTAAAGACTTGTTACAATTTGCGTTAAGTAACATCACAATTATAATAATTTGGAAAATAGCTCTAAACTTACCTATAACTTGAGGAGTATATATGGAAAAAGAACCCCAAAAAAAAATCAAAATCTCGAGCAATTAATACCAAGAATTCCTTTACGTTAAAACATATCTGGCTTTACTTCAATTTATTTGCTAAAATTTAAGACTGCATGGACAAATAACCTCATTGCTGCAATTTAAAGGGGGAGAAAAGAAGAGATTATACTGCAATTTTACTTATCCTCTAAAGAAACTCCAGGAAGAAGAAATTCTTGTTTGAGCGGTAAGACAACCATCTCAAATTGATTCAAATATATGATGCATATGCCCTTCAACTTCAGAAATCAGCTAACAGAATGACAACCAGAAATTGTCTAAAAGACAGTTATTACTTACAACTTGTACTTCGAAAAAGAATGCACAAACAATATCACTACCTACAAAAGCCATTCTTCCAGCTCAATCTGAAGTGAGAAGTGATTAGTACTCTTTATTAAAGAAGAAGCATGTACAGTTGTTAACCCTCAGTATTCTCAGCTGTCATTTGGACGGCTCATAGCAGCAAAAATCAAAGACTTCTATCGTATTATTGACGTAGACTGATCTGCAATGTAGACAAGCTTCGCAATTTTAGTATCCTTTGATATAAGATATGTCAATAATTCATAACAACACGTCAAAAAAAAAAAAAAACACCATTACGAGGCCTAATGATACATCAAAGCTGTGGCATCATGAATTGTTAACAGGTGTTGGGTTTATTCATGGCCAGGTACATTGTAGACACCAAGCTACGGTAGGCTGAAAAATTAGGAAAAGGCGGTAATATAATTTTCACAAGCAAATTGTAGCAACAAAAGCATTAGCATTTCAGACCACGCACATATTTGTATCATCAAGGATGATTGACACTAGGATCCACATAGCTGTAACTTAAGCCATGCAAGATGTAGTGTTGAATACCACTATGATTTTGGATACAGATTCCAGCCCCCTATCTAAATATGGTTTTATGCATTTTGGATTCATTTCCTAATTTTGACATGAAATTTGTATTGGCATTCAGATACAGATATGAAATCCAAATAGGAATATACCCTATTGCATATTCAAACACGAAAATAGGTGTAGAATTTAAGTGCGTATCCTAATTAGAATACAAACCCGTGGACAACTGTATCATTATCCTAACTAGTACATGCACATACAAATGCACTAGAATACAATATTCATATCTCTACTGGGACATGCACACATGCATATCACTAGGTTATGATTCTTATAGTTAAATTACGACGTGCACACATGTGACATAGGACCTGAGCTCACAACCTTAACACTCACCCTATCTCACTTGTTCACTCACTTCCAACACATGCATCTGAGATGTGCAGCCACATGGTCACCAACCATCCCCTCCCACTTTATCACTCCCTTCATTTTCTTTAAGCACACATAACAAATAGAAATACCTTACACCTAAAGCGTTTGTGTTTTTAAGCAATTCATACAGATATAGGATAATCCCGCTAGACATTGATATGCCATTCACATATTGACGTAGGAATGCCAAAAATATTAAACGATGCCAAGAAGACCATGCAAGTGCAAGTGGCCAAGGCTAGAAATCTTATAAACTTGCATTGTGACGCCATGGAAAAAAGTAGATAAACAAATGCAAATTAGGGCACGATACATAGTTAAGTAAATCACAAAGTGAAAACCAACAGTTTCAATTTACATATCAGATTTGACTTCATCATGCATAATTCAGGTTAGTTACCAAATTTCTAAATTTCATAGTGAACTACAGATTATAAACAACAAAAAGAACAGTTTCAAAATCAAAACATTCAAAATGTTATTCTGGCTTGAGTGTTCGGATAGTATGAGGATCCAAATTATACTTTGTTTAGTGCAAAATTGAATAGGAGTGACAGCTTCCAGATTTATAGGACAGTTGCCATTTACCTCTTTAAACATGTAGTTCTTTAACAATTACGCAATGTTTCATATCATAACCTACATGACACCCTCTACCTAATTTATTTACGAACTTGACATACTTAAATTTGAGAATTTGACATCACGTTCACGCAGGTATATCAAAGTTCTAAATCTCCATGAGGTTATATTTGTACCTATGCAACAATTAGGGTCAAACAAAATAGGGGGAAATAGCCGTGTTAGTACAAAGCCAAGCACCTGTCCTGCAAATACCCCAAACAAGACCCAAAATATTCATCAAGGGATCTCACAGGATTCATTAACCCTCCTATTTAGATTTTCAAAGATAAATTTTCATCCCTTTAGATCTTCCTTAAAGAAGATATAGAAAGAAAGAGTTTTTTCTACAAATTCTCCAAGGACAACGCTTACAGCTTACTCGTCATGGCTGTATTTTGATATGACATGATTTTTTATTAAAGTTCATTCAAAGACAAGTTAAAAAAGACTCATAATCAAGTTACTACAGGTATTTAAGTTCTACTACGCAACAAATTCGAAAGTACATTGCAAGCAAATAGAAGTACATGAAAGAAATAAAAATGAGGTCAGCCCCTAAACCAACAATTGCATATCATCTAAGAGTTGTTGGCCATTTTTATCAGCGGCATTTTGCTGGCGATAAGCTTCAAATTAAACTTCTCTACTGGCACAACACACAAACTTCCAATAGTACACAAGAGTCGCTAACTTCTCTAAGGCAAAAATGGTGATCCATTTAACCCCAAACTTATTGGTCATATTTCTAGTAAATTTTCAACGATACAACCTATGGAATACTATCAAAATTAGCAAACAAAATTAACCCTAGCTAGAGAGAACATTAACCTTTCTTCTATGGTCTACTCCATAAATAAGTAAGAACTACAAATGGCAAAGATCAGCTAGAAGTGTAATGAAAAATTGTATTAGACATCAAAATGGACACTAACAAGAGGAAACAATCATATGAACATTCTAAGCGAGGGGGAAAAAAACCACATCATGTAATGAATTGAATCAACTTGCTTACACAGGGAAAGTAAACAGGCACATGCTGGCGATATTTGAAGCTGAAGTACTATCTGTTGATCACATGAACCGGAAGGAAGAGCACGCACCTGAAGAGTTTCTAAAGATTAAAAGAATTTCTGCTACAACTACACCCATTATATACTCCGTTTTTTCTTGAGATCAATTTCAGTGAGTCTTTCTTCTGCTGAGCGGATTAGGCTGGCTCCCTTCAAAGAAATCAGCCATTGCTGCCTCAATATCATCTTCAGAGTACTTAATATACATCTCAGGGTGCCTCCCACTCTCTATATGATGCCTGAACCGCCCCAAGAATGACCTATAAGCTGGCACCAATAATGCAGACATAGAAACCTTCAACTCGTCCCTCAGCTGAACATCCGGCACAAGCCAAGTTGCCTGGGTCCGGTGTGCCTCATCGAATGCAGCATTAAATGACTTGAACCTCTCTCTCAATATCGACTTTGAAACCCCAGATGAGAAACTTCCACTCACATGAAGACCTTCCTCTCTCAGAAAGTGAAGAATCTTCACCCAAGTTGCCCTCCGATAGCTAGTGGCCGAGTTTCTAATTTTCCCTGCCAATTTCCTCAAATAGTCATTCCCAATTAGCTCTATGAGCTCTGGAGACCCTTTCGCCTTTTGAACTATATAATGAACATTATTCATCAAGAAAAGATGAGACAGTGCATTATCCTTATAAAGATTTGCCTTATCCTCAAGATTGTACTGAAGAATAGCTATGATCCATATCAAATGCGATGCCAACGGCGACCTGTTCTCCGATTCAGGATAATCAATCTCCATTACTACACCACCTGTACCATCCCCATTAAACCTCGAACTAGTCGACGGCTTAGTCACAATCAATTCAAATAAAGTCTGCTTGTACTCTGATATAAGACCGACATAATTCATCACATACCGAGTCAAAGGATGGATCGTACCTCCAGGGACAGGTGTTCTCGACGGATCTCGAAGAACGGCATTCTCAAACTCTGACAAGATTCCACGAACAGCTTCAGTGAGCCGAGACAAGATATCTGAAGCGTGACTGTAGATTGATTCCGACGATTTCGAACTGAAAACAGCCTCGATATCAGGTAGCAGATCCGAGATAGCGTCGTGAAGATCAAGAATCTTGAAAAACTTCTCCGGCGATCTCCGGCCGATGCTGATCGCGTCGGGAAATCCGAAGAGCTGGAGCGCCGCTCCTTTGACCGTCTCGATGAACGGATATTCATCGGATTCGAAGATTCGATCACAGAGACCCCGCTCGCTGGCGAAGATAACCCTAACGCAAGTTTTCGCAGCTCTGATCCATCGTCGGATCTTGCTCTCAAGAACTTCCCACTCGAGCTTCTGAACCTCGCCGATGCTGAGCTTCTCCACTCCGAGATGGCGAAGACTGAGATCGATCGCCGACTTTCGAACGCTTCCGTACACTTGAACGCACTCGCGGCCGTATCCAGCTTCGACCATGCGATCGGCGATGGATTTGAGATCGACGATGGCGTCAGGCCGAACGAGATCGATCTCTCGTATACTCTTCGTAGATCGATAGGTCGAGGTCTCGTCATCGGAGATGTCGCTACGATCGCTGTTCATCGAGAGGCAGCTGAGATCGACTGAATCGATCTCCACATCGTTCGCTTTGGTGATAAGGATGTGACGGAACTCGTCCTCGAGCTTCGCCATGGCGATCTGCAGCGTGTTGGCCGGCGACGAGGTGGAGGTGGAGGAGGATGAGAGGCGTCTAGGGCTGGCGGTGACCGTATCGCTGAGAGATCGCCGGAGATCGTCGACGGCCTTCAAGTAGCGCTCGGCGTCGCCTCGATCGGAGAACAGCAAGCGACTGTCGGCAGAGGAAGAGGACTGGTCCCAGTTGAGGATCAGCTCCTCC